ACCAACTCTTTAGTCATTACGGTTCTTCTCGACTTTTCGGTATAGGCTGACTTCACAAACTCCCCACGCTGCCAAAAACATGAATCGATTTCCTCACCCGGTCCTTTATTGCGCGTTCGACGGTCAGCTGTGCGTAATCACTATGACCATACAGCACGGTCCCACTTGGTAATAAGTTGGCGCCCCGGCTGGTGGTGATACGGAGGTTCAGGTGTGTGTGGGTCTGAATGTCAACGATCCGGTGTTCATGGGATAGTTACGAGTCCACGTATAACGAGTGTTACTGTCCTGTGCAATCCTGCACAGACCTTTTGATCGGCACCCGCCGACTTGTTTTGGCCATTCCATGCTAATGAGACAGACAGACAGAATACATCTACCCAACTTGATGTTCGTTAAGAATGCCTGTCCCATTGTTGGGTGATCACTTTCTTGCATGTCCTCACTGTGTAGTCACTGAAATAGAGCATCTGATTGTTCGTCCTGTGGACAAAACTAGCAACAGACGTGTTGGTTGCGCATGCTTGTCACAATATATATATATATATATATATATATATAAAGAGTTAATAGTTATTTCAATCTATTTGGACTTCCAAAGGCGTGGTGAGTAGCAACCGCAAGTCAACCGACTAACATCTACCACAGACTTTCAAGTGAACATTCATGATGTGCTTGAAATTAGATCAATTTTCAGGCGGCAAACTCGAAACTCTCAGAGGGCACTGATGTCACAAAAACTGGCATCGCTATCTCTCCGATAGTATACGGAAACTGTCTCCGGGTACATAATATTGTGCCTTGAATTATGCTTTTCTTGAGATAGTTTTTGGTCAGGAACAATAGTTGTATCACATTTTATCCACAGTTCTACGATTCTGCTCGTAAAAAGTAGAATTGTACCGGCAAAAACACTTCAGTCAACATCTTAAGGTCTTTTTGGCCGGTATGGCTACTCTACTATCAGACCGAGAATTCGTGAGGCTGCGGGTGTGACCGGTTATGCTATTGACAATAGAAGTGACACTCGGTAAGACATTCAAGTTCATGCTACATGAGCGATTTGACCAAAGATAAACACGTTTGCTAAGAGTCCTCGCCTTTCCCTGTACACCAAAATGGCGTCCATTAACACGGGTGCATACTCGCCGCTGTTGTTGACACAGGACGGCAGGGTTTCCATCCGAAAGTGGCCTTACTTTTCTCGCTCTGTGGTGTCTACGTCTTTACCTGATCCATTATGTACTTATTTTTCTGTTTTGTCCTGCTTTGGCAAACCTTCCTACACGTCACACTGACACACTCGTCAGCATCATCATCATGGACAGCGTGACATCAGTGTTTAACACTGATACTTCGCTGATGTACCATTCATGGTTGTACATGGGAAGGGATACTGCCAGAGTGCTCTAGCCTGGACAAGATTGAGGCCCTCAACCAAGGCCTTTGGCTCAAAAGCCTGAGCGCAAGACAGCGGTGTTTGTTGGGGAATGCAAGTGCATTATCATTTTTAGTGAACATATCGCCACATATGGTCCAATTCCCAACCCTGAGGGACCAGGAGACTGTGTTCATCAGACCTCTGAGCATGGACCAACCTGGAATGTGACTGTTGTGCAGGCACCCCCAGTTTAGATTAACGAGTCACTGGGGTACACAAACCTTCACATCACTACAAGGTCCAGTCTCTTCGTGACGGACACTAACACAATGTGATTCGGTGAATGTAGAGCTGTCAATCCCTTGTTCTTTGGACGCACGTGTTCCGCCTTATCTGCACTCGAACAGGAAGCTTTTGATGCTGAACTACTCGACTTGTCTGTCATCGTTACAAGCATCAATCACTGAACAATGCATAAAGCAGCTCGTTTGATTTCACTAATGTCACTACTTCTGCACCTGAAATTTAAAGAAACCATTTAATGATGTGAACGACAACTATCCGGGTTTGTTTGCTTGCTTTCTCACAAGCAACACAAAGGTTAGTCGAATTCTATGTTAATATTTAAAAACTCCAAAATCAGCTTAGTCAGATGACATAAAATAACTTGGACAGATACCCTAAAAAATAATGTCATTCATAATCAACCCAATGACCTGATCTGAGTGATTCTCAGCGATCAGTCAGTCGAAAACGGTTTCACACTTGACCACGTTCGAGCCAGCCATCCTGACTAGTTCCGCTCTCGGTTTCGTGCCAATGGGTATACCATGAGCACCGTAAGGTTTCTGATTTTCCACTGTTCGCTCACGTCTGTTGTCATTTTTAAACACAAAAACATTTAAAAAGAAACATTCGACTGTGCCAGAAAATATTGCAGAATAGATTTTTACGGCATTCTGCTTAATCTTTTTTCAGTCTTTATGTTCGATGAAGAACTGCTCAACTCGCAAGTTACTTTATGCGACCTGTTACCTGACTAACTTGTTTGTTAATAACCGGTAATGATTTTATTGTTATGCCAGTAATTGGTGATTCCGTGAATCCTGAAGAGCGACAAATGAATTCCATGAATCCCGTTTATTTGGCGGGAAGCTTGAAAACCACATGTGAATGGGTGCCCGAATTACCAAGCTCTAATAGGCACTACGTCAGGCAAAACTGTTGATGATTGAGGTATTCGCTTAGCGATTTTGTTGCAAACATTTCATTACCCACCGAGGCAACATATTTCAGTAAATCGCCCTAAAACGGAGCTTGTCGATCGTATGTAGTGCACCACTCGGTTTCATTGAATGCATCCACGGGGGGACTTCCGAACTTCCGCTAACTCAGTTGGATCTGGAAGCCGTTCGCCATTAATTACAGCAATAAACAAAAATAAAGAGTTAGCCTGGAATCTTAGAGAGGTCTTCTGTGTTTTAGTTCACGTTCGGCAACAATATTCTTATTTATTTCGAGCGAGGAAGTCGTCATGTTCAATAAGTTTCCAACTGAAATTACAAATACCGTGGTGGGTGAAGTGACTCCGTACTTGAAGATACCACCAACATTCAAAGACATTTAGGTGTTCTTTGAGGTCTGTTGCGGTTCCTTTTTTTACATATTATTCTCTAGAATTCCTTCGCAAGAATAATAACGCAATCTTAACATTTCCTGTTACGCACTTCGCATTGTTTCTTCTTTGAGATAGTGACGCACGCTGACGATTTCCTTTATACTACAACTGAAGTTTCTGATTACGTAATCTTTGCCTCAAAGTATACGTATTCCTGTGCACTGAAGTCTCACCTAAGCCTTAAGATTTGTGATTTCGACATTTACACCTGTTCGTAAGTTTACGTTCATTAACCTACTCGACAGAGCTCCCGTACAACTAAGATGAACACAAAGTTAAGCTGCTTAATTCTTTAAAAACAATTGGGCTGTCTAGAATAAATATATTTTCTCAAATATTAGGAGGTTTCGGAAATACGACTTGTAATGCAGCTAATTGCTGCATTGGTTTTTATCAGAAAACTGTGTTTACTGAGACAACCAACTTTATACATTTTATGCTCTGCCCATCAATATGGGTTACCGGCTCTTCCTATTTGTGGATCTGTTGAGAAGGACACTCGTGAGTACGGACTTGAACACAAACTGATACCAGGTGCAAGGCTCATAGTACTATCATCACCTTGAACCTCCCCTACAAACACTTCGTCCCCCCGGTCCGAACTAGCTAAGGCGTTTACTGGTTGCTTACAGTTTTTCCACTCCAACGTAGCAGATGTGAAGTCAAGTAGCCAGGAAGGAGACACCTCCGCAAGTTGGCCGGTCCGCCGTTCCGTATTAGCATTTTTGGCTCTATACGGATAAATCCTACTTACACCAAAGAGGAACGTGCACTGTAAAGCACTCGGACAACTGCATGTTCCTCACTTAGTACAAACGTTGGAGAACTTTGAATCTCACCGCTACGGCTCTAGCTAAAACTTTTTCAACTGAATGTTTTGTCAAACTGCGTTCGATGCAGAACAAATTAGATTGAACAGTATGGAGGTGTTCTTTGTACCGCGGCTCTCACTTCAGTGCTGATCCACAAGCCTGACTACTGAGCTCGATGATTCCAAAGCGGAATGTCATATATAATGGAGCGCATCTGAATGACCAACTGCCTTTGGATTGTTTCTAGCTACTCAGATTTATTTGTTTGAAATGCAGACAACTGAGTCAATTTGTGACCCTTTAACGTGCTTTGAGTGACGGAATATGGAAAGGCTTCGGGAGACCTGGAGGTTGTGTTTCAGTTGTACGTTCATTCTATATCTAACTGCTGTTCACACTCCAGTACTTAGTGCCAGAAAAGAACTCACCGACAAGGAACACAACAGCGTTATTGCAACAACCTAGTGCGTTCGAGTGCAAAAGTTACAGTGCCATTTAAAGTTAAAGAGCACATTCAGTCGTGCTTCTGTGCTGTGGCTGAACACTCATCCGCTTTTGCTGAATTGATTGAATGATTGACTGACCTTGGTGCTTAGCGGCTTTCCTAATGAGATTTTGGTGGGCTTTTCGGGTCTCAGTAGGTTCCGGGCGTTCTGAGGTTACTTTCAGGAATCTGACCTCCCTGATAGTCAATCTTTTATCATTGCGCAGTTCAGCTGAAGAACGATAGAGTTTACGACCCTAGAGTATAATATTTTTCAGGAACCTATCTTGAGTTGTTCACCGCCAAAGGAGATGCTCACTTCTTGTAGGATGAAAAGATATACCTTCTGAGTTCCGTACACAAGGCGCAACTCAGGGCGTATATCGTGACTGGCATTTACTCACGGAAAGCTTTTGGGAAGCTTTTACATCACAGTATCAGATCTCCATATCTAAAAACGTTATTGTTTGCCTTTTGGGAAATTATTTCTCTTACATTCCACCCCCCCCCCATCACTTCCCAACGATGTGATTCTCCTCCCCCGGTTAAGTCATTTTTATTTCCAGAAAATTCGCTCAACTTCAGAAATCAGTATTGTATAATAACAACGGTAGTTTGTCAGCACAAAATTAAACAAAAGTAAAATCACCAACGAATATTAGCAATGAATTCGAGTTCCTGACTCACATCACTTGCCTCCAAATAGGCCACACTGCGACGTAGATTTTCAGGTAATCGCTGACATATCTGCTGGCGGGCTTCGATGTGCGGATGGAGAGAGCGGCCAACATTTGCATCTTCCGCTTTACGAATGTCCTGATCTAAGCACTCCTGGAACCACCTGGTCCCCAGAAGCTGCCGAAAGGAACGCCGGGCCAGTAGAAACAAACTCTGAGGGCTGTAGTGTGTCAGTTGGAGAAAGGCGGAATGATACACCAAAACGAGGGAATTGGTCTTATCACCTTTTTCGTACTGTTCGGGGTGAATTTTGTCCAAAGACACTCCATGGAATGATACAAAAAGCCCAGAGTAGATTATATTTAACAGCAAGATCACGTACGATTGTAGGCTTGGTCCAAGTGAGTGATATGAATCAATGCAGGACTCGTTCCAGCAAGCCAACCTACACAAGAGTTTCTCATAAAGGTTGTCTTGTGTCGGGAGCTGACTACCCACCAAATCAGCTGTTATACTGTCCGGTTGAAGGCCTGATTTGATCAGCTGACGAATGATTCCGGCTGCGTCAATAGGGTTGTGAACAACCGGAGTGTTTGCTTTGTGCACACATGAAAGTTCCATTGCCGCTATCGTCGACAAACTGCGTATGCGACTTGTGGGTAACCCTCCGACAACATTTTCGTCGCTTGTTGTTGACGTCACACGAACGTCTGCACCTTTGCTCAGAAGCGCCGATAGCAATCGCGGGAACATCACTGTTCCAGATGCACATCGGTTGTTAAGCATTCGCATGTCAAACATAATATTTTCAACACTATCTGCTGGAGGAAGCCCTTTGGAGATCAAAAGATGGCATTTTTCAACAACATACAAAAATAGGTCTAATACTGAGATAAAACGAAAGACGAAGGAACCAGAATCAGTGCTCTCACAGTGCAGATATTGTGGCCGATTCAGATCGAATCCAGCATCAACAAGAAAGGCGAATTCGTGCCAGCAAAAGTGGTAGGCGGTCAGGCAATAAAGAGACTGAGGAAAATAACCTTTACGTGAACCGTTAGAGGAGGAGGAGGAGGATGAAGGAAAAATTCTGGTAGCTTGCTTGGATTTTTTCTGACGGTTAACTGATCTCCGTTCCGCTTGCTGGTTTGTACATGAGGCAGTTACAATTTTGCATCGTATAACTCGTTTCTTGATCACAAATCCTTCAGCTTCTTTTCCAAACCGATTAGCCACTTTCGGCATTCGAAGCTGCGGTGGACGTCGCCGTGAGCAGTTCCAGCTGCAGCCACTGATGGGTGCCCAAGTAATCCAGGGCTTTCGGTGCTTATGTGTAGATGTATCCAGGCTTAACAAGCAAATCGATGAGCTTGCAAGTTCTGAACCATCCATATCCACAACTGATTCATCTTTACGTACTTTTACATCCCTGATGTCTGGGCACCCGGTTAGTTTGTTTCCCCCAAATTGCAGTCGGTGCCAGTAGCTCTTAACTCCTAGTTTGATTCGATGCCACACAGAGTCAGACTTCATTTCTCCTTCTATTATCAACGCAACATTACGTGCATGAAAAGGCACATACATTACACAAGTCATACTGTACCACTTCCTTCAAAAACAGCGCAGGAACCCACATGATCCATAAAGAGAAATGAAAGTCCAGAAACATTCCTTGTCGCATGTTTTCACGCTGTTTGAATATTTGTTGCTGAAAGCATCGCGAAGTTCGAAAATCTGGTCGGGTCTAGTATTCGCTGTCTACAACAATCCAACGCTGTCTCGTTCACCGTTGGCTGCCAGTGTCGGACCAATCAGCAAAGCAAGGTTTCCATCCTGACCAAGGATTGGTAAACAAACGTGTTACGAGAAATCTACTCTCAAACAAACACCGTTATTCTGCGCACATTTGGAACGTTTTCAAATATTCTAGTGCCAGAACTTCCCCCAGTCTTGATCTACTGTGAAGAATTGGACAGCAAAGAGTTTTTTAAACAGAAAATGTTTTGGGGTTCATCGAATGCGCAAGTCACATAAAGCCAAATCAGCAATAACTTCATGCCGTCAGATAGAGGATACTAAGCAGACAACAAGCTTTAATGCGCACCGAAAATTTGGACCGGCACTCCAATAAACAATGCCTCTGGAGCTTAAACTGGGTTAATTTAAGAATCGTCAACACCAAACCAAAAGTGAAATATAAGTGTTATGGACGCGAAAATATATGCGAAAATAACCTTAAATTTCGGTTTAGTATCAGAGAAAAAGATACGTTTCGTTAGAGGGAGTGATCTGCGTCAGCTACAACCTTGGGAGACAACTACCATAAAAAGCAATGTGACGGTTATCATGTACTTGTGCCGCTTTTAGATTGGTGATATAAATTGATATGACTTGACTATGGGCACTGGTCAAACCATGGGGCATGCCGTCATTATCAGAGGGTTGACCCGAATTGGATGAGACTCGCAAACACTTGTAAACCTAAAGGAGTAAGACTAGCGGTGAACGTACCGAGGCCTACTGCAAGTGTTATCCAGCGATTCCTCTAAAATGCAACCCTCAAACTGAAGGGCTGACTTTCTAAGAATTGCAGTGTCGTTCAGGTATTTTGGGTGATTAATTTCAGCATGTTAACCGATTGATCCGCCAGTGACCTATACGGCCGATCCTAATTGAATTTAGAGCAGATCCCCATGTTCGACCCTGCAGCGGAAGTTGCTCTTTTGCAGTGCTATGAAGCACTGTGCTTCGGATCTTTTCACATCCGCTTGGATAGACGTTTTGTCAAGAAACAGATCTAGACTGAAAGTGACAGATTTTCACACTCACCTGAGTTCTATTACAGAAATGGAATTTCAGACTTCATTCAGACTCCATTCTTAAGTTCGCCGTGGATAAGTTGTTTTGCGATACAGGTTTCGACCATTTTTCTCAAGTGGGTCAGTGGATCTGGTTCGGCATCAGCCTGTGTTTAAATTCAACATCTTTCGCTCTTCGAGGAAATTCAATGTTTGGTGCGGCTTATCCGTTTGATCCATAGGGTTTTACACAGAGGGTGTAATAGAAATCGGTGCAGAGCCCGAACATATCCATACAGCTGCTTTACAAGTAGCGCAGCAGTAAAACAGCTGGATGCACTTGGGTTTTGGTTCATTTCCATTACTGGTTGTTTTCTTCTAGACACGTTTCTTAACGAAACCAAATGTCGTGGTGGATCTTGCATTTTGTAGGTTAATTTCATTATCCAGTGTCAGGTTTATGGATGGTATCCTGACAAGACATTAGGAAGCCGCGCAACACGCTATCTCGGAACCATTTAGCCAAATACTTAGGGTTATATGGTGAACCCGCGGTGCAGTTTGATGAAAGACAGGCGTTTTGAGATTATTTACATTCGGGCTAAAGTAAGGCATTGATGACCGAATGGAATGAAGATACTGAGTGTTCGGTCAGTAGATGACTTTTAGTCTGGCAATACATGCAGGGCTAGATCCCTACACTTCGTATAATGCTGCATTCAGTTTTTTGTTTCAAATGTTTGGTTCTCAAGCTTTCGAGTGCATTTGGACCTCTACGCTTTTCGGATCTCTGGTAGACGTCAAACTCTTCTCTTGAATCATGGTAGGTATGGATTATTCATAGTCATCAAACCAAGCTCATTTCTGCTCTTGCGTTAGTCATAGGGAATACAGAACGGCTTTTTTCATTCACTGGTTCTCAGTGGGCTCTTGGGTTTTGGTTGTTTTCAGAACCTTGTTTTGGGGCTCCAAAGAACTTCGATGACGTTTTCCGGTCTTTCATTTTTCTAACTCATGGATTGAGTGATCTAATTCTGATCTACGACGTGAGTTTTTCACCACACTACATGGTACTACTTTGGCTTGCATAAGAGAAAGTTTCTCATTACGATCAGATCTCCAGATCACTTGTGGTCAGCACAATGCCGAGATCTTCCCGCACAACGATATAGTCTATCAGGTGCGCCAGTTCACATCTTGCCTGAGTGTATGTGGCAAACAATGTCCACTCCACTTTGGGAGTTCAGATACTGCATGTGTCGTCTGTAGTCCTTCGTCATTGTCGTTCACTGATCCAAATCCCAAATGGACCCACTAACTCCTTCTTGCAAACCTCCCAGCCACTTTCAACACGAGCACTGAAGTTGCCCAACAGGAGAAGGGAGTAGAAGACAAGTTTAGATCTGAATACATCAAGAAATTGACTGCAGAATTTGTTCAATTCAACTGAGTGTGACATTGTGGGGAGGATATACGCTCGCAGATTGTCGTATATACCGCTGCCCCGCTCCAGTGTCGGAAAAAGACCCGCCAATAAGGAGATAGTAGCTTTATTACAGACAATCGAGTGCAGAAGTTACAAGAGACCTCAAACTATTTGAAGGGTACATTTGACATTAATCCAGGCTGTCTGATAGGTGATTAGTGAACGCCAATCATCGTCGACCGTGCTTCTATGAAATGCCTGAACACTTATCATAGTCGCTTGTACATCTGTGGCGTGCCTGAACCCCCGTCGGCTTTTGCTGAATTACTTGATTGATTGACTGGTCTGAATACCTTCCGGTTTCCCCATTGAAATTTGGTGAGGTTTTACGGTCTCAGCAAACTCCGGACATTCCTGGGTTATTTTCAGAAATCTGATCTATCTGACAATTTTACCGATAGTGATGAGGACGATGGCAATCTTACCATTTGATGTGTGAAGGTAAGCTCAGCATGTGTCGAAAAGAAACGGTAGAATTCACCCGGATGGTCTAACCAAGTTTACCTGGGTGGTTTACTAATCATCAATGCACTCGCATGCATCGCAGAGTTGTCTTAAGAACCTGCAGAGAAAAAGGGTAGAATCCGTTTCCAGTGAGCTAACTTGTTGAACCTACAATGGATTCGGGATACGGTCTAATCGGACGTGCGAAATCCTATAGAAATCTGTTAGGAGTATGGCCGTGGACTGCAGCCTCTCTTAATGCATTTTTGCACAGATTACCATAATCAGCGGTTATGTGGTCCGCTGACACCATATTTTGCACAACTGTGAACGGCAGTTTTAAAATGTGCCTCACTGGTACAATTCCTTCGATTTTCTTGCACTTTTACCCCAAGTTTTTCACATGGTTTTGCACACTGCTTCCAAATATGAACTATTTAAAACCCGTATGAAAATTTCTCTAGCCCATTTTACATGTGTTGTCTCTAGAGACCTGGTTCGCTGAGTACACGGGATCAACTGCTTGCAAAGTAATTACGGAACAACAATGACCCCAAACACTATGCACAAGAAGCTAGTACGAATGAAGTGGCTATTAACTTAAAAACAGACAGATAGTGAGTTACTGACCTTGAACGATTAGAGCGGCTAACCGTACCATTTCGTCAACCCCAGAAACCAAACGCCCACTGGCGAGATCCCGTCGTAACTGTCGGTACAAAAGGTAGCTAGGGAAGAGAATAACGAGAGGATGAACCGAAATGTGATATTATTATACTATACTTTATGTTGCCTTCCAGAAAATCTTTACCTGCATACCTCAGGAAAATGGTGGTCAAAATTTAGATGAACTTGCGCACAATCATTGTTAAAAGAATATCCTGGCCAATACACTACGCTACCCAACATAGTGACCAGGATAGCATCACAAGATATCTTATGCAGAATGACGTGAATCAGGAAGTGGTAAACAAGATAACACTGAAAACATTAAAGAGGCAGAGAATTTTCGAGACAAAATCCCGAACTCTAACGATAGCAGAGGCAATAAAGCGCGTCAGCCGTTGAAATTTTTGGTTGAATATGTAAAGAACAAAACGATTCTTCAATCTACAGATGAAGAAAAGTCATCATTGCTGGTCGGTGATATTTTCTGCCGTTCAAAGCCGGATTTATTGTGCAAGGCCATCCTTACGTGGCAAAACCCAGGTGTTGAGACAACACAGTCAAACATCAGGTGGAGCTTAATAGCTTTAGGGAGTCATTCAGGAGATATCATACGAAAGTTACATTTTCAGCACGCGCGGAGGCTCTGGACACACATGAACGATTCGAGGTCACATGAATAATTCTCCGTCAGTGATTCGCTATTGAGTATAACAGAATAATTTACTGAATATTTGATCACAGCCCGGAACTCCAGCCACACGATACCCTTAGTTCTTATTTTCTGAGAGTAGACGAGTCAGTGATGGCTCGCCTGACCGTTTGGACGACAGCTTTGCCCTATTAACCATGAGACATCCTGGAACTTGAGTACCTATTTTACAACTGTGATCAGTAGCTGCACGGGCCCCAGCTAGCCACGGAATTACTTGACCTACTCCTTAACGGCTGGGTAGGAAAAGGTGGCCTAGTTTGAATGAAAACCCAAGCAACCATTAGGTCATTTGTGAACAAATGTCTGACTTTATACGACCGGTCAGGTTGTTTGAATAAGTCCGAAAAAAGCCATCACACAGATCTCTAAAATAAGATATCAGAAATGAAGCAAACAAGGGCATAAAACCGTAAAAATGTGTGAG